ACCCAAATCCTAATAAAAAAAAAAAAAATATTAAAACTAAAAATTTAAGAGAAAGAAGTGATATGAGGAAGCAAAGTCCATGAGGTAGTGGGAGGAAGTGGGAGGGGATGGGCTCAAGGGCCATGGCTGGAGGGGTTGGGAAGTGATGAAGGAAGAAAGAAAAAGTGAAAACACGGTGATATGGAGATGGAGAAAAGATATTTTTGAGAGAGATTTCATGCTTTTTCTGTAAAGTAAGAAGCAAGATTTTATGTTGAGAATGTCCATGTAGTTGAACCCCACTCCTTGACATTTTGGCTTCCGTGTTAGCGCGTGAAAGCATTGCAGGATGATTGAACTCCATCCTGAATAACAGGATGCATGGAATCCAAACACATATTTTTGCACATTACCTTTTAAAGGTGACATTTTTAATAAGAACAGAACAGCTAACTTAGAGTGAACAAGTGATTAGTCAATGAAGTTACAGAATTCCTGCACCTACAGAAGGCCACCCACAATGGCCTTTGGGTTCAACACTTAGAAAGTTCACATACCAAACCCCCAAGTGTTGCTTGGGGTTCCGCTCACTGCTACATTATGCCGGTAAGAGTACAGAGGACCAGTCTCATGCTGCCAAGCCTTTGCTTGTCCTGAGGTGGCTTTAACTGAGTTTTGGGAGAGGCTAGATCCCTCCCTTGCCCTGATGTTAAAAGCTTCTCCTGTATATGGTATGTAATTACAGTAGAAACTCTTTTGATTTATGCTGGTGCCAGGCACAATGTGGTTGTAACTAGGATATAAATAAAGTGTTACATAACTTTGGTCTTAGTGTGCAGAGAAGCCTATCTTTAAAATGACTGCCAAAGCAAGTGGGATTCCGTGAAAAATAAATATCATTACTCCTTAAATTTTAAAACAAATACTGGGAGCATGTGGAGATCTTTTTTCCTCAGTAAAAAAAAATAATAAGCGTTTGGGGAAAGTTAATATTAAAACCTCATCCTTGCTGTCTAATTACTCAGTATCGAAATAACAGTAGACAGAGGTTCCATTCTTTCTGAAAAAGTAAAATCGTACCTCAGGGAAAAAAAAAAAAAAAATCCTCAGGATGCTAGTGCCAAAATATAAACCATTAAAATATTTTGGCATCAAGAATGATTTTGTATTAAAAGACTATGAATAGAAAGAGTTGAAATCACAAATATTAAACTTATTAAATGGATTCTTCTAATTCATACCAGGAAATTAAATGGAAACAATCCTAGCCTTGAGTCCTGGAAGATGTCTTAAAATTGTTTGGATTGGAGACAAAAGAATAGTGCTATAAAAATGTCCAGTTGCAAACTTTAATATGAATGTGTTTCCAAGTCTCTAATGTGAATTAACTCATTGCATATTTGACTTTAAACCTTAGTATTTTTCCTTTATTGGGGTTTGTGGGTCCCCCCCCCAACACTAACCAACCTAATAATGTCTCTTATACCCACTGCCCCCTGGAATTTTTAGTGGATGAGAAAGAAAAGGGAAAAAGAGGGAAGAAGAGAAGAAACAGGCAGGGACTATAAAGCAGGGGTGGAGAGGAAAAGGATGAGTAAAGGAAAGGGTCCTTCATGGTTAGCATGTGAGCTTTTCTAGAGTTTTCCTTTGCTCCTCTGGGTTTCAGAATCAAGCATAATGATATCCAACAAATGCAAAAAAGTGGCATAATATTTCTCCTCCACGAGGGTCTTATTTATTTTGGGTGCCCCATCTGAGTCAATGCCCAGCAGAGGAATACGTAGCAGGTATTCCATAAATATTTGTTGCATGAGGTAGCACTTTGTTCATTGGTGGCACAGTTTTTGCTGATCCCAGACCAGTGGCTATTCAAGCATTAAGCCAGAAGCTAAAATAGATTCATGCCTGAAGGAGGTCAGTTCTGAACCTTCATGCAATTGGTTTAAACCTGACCTTTCTGGATCAAAGTCACTGACAGCTGGGGATTCGTGCTTGTGGCCTTGCTGAAGAGTCAGGTGCTTCTCCTTGGTGGTCAGAAACTCCTGCTCCAGTAGTTCAAGATGTCCTTGCAGTTTCTCCAGGACCTATAGCAATGAAGTCACTGTCATTTATATGCCAACCTGTGAGTGCTGTTGTTTTCCCCAAAATATGATGAAAGTGTGCCTTACAATAGTGTCAGAACCAAGCCACTATCCTTCTCCTGGCAGTGCCAGTTGTTTTGTTTCAATCCGACATCTAAAAATATACAACCCAAGATCCATGTCAATATTCATACCACCATTGTACATTGTATTTCTGATTTCTCCTCTTACCCTTAAACCAAAAGAAAAACAAACCCACCACCACTGAGTTGCTTTCAACTCATGTTGTTATTGTTGTTTTGGGCTGTCGAGTCAGACCCGACTCATACTGACCCCTCCTTGGGTTTCCGAGGCAGTATCACTATGCATAGTGACCCTTTAATGCAATGCACTGCCATTACATTGGATCTGACTTCTACTGACCCTTCCTTGGGTTTCTGAGGTGATAACACTATGGAAGTAGATTGCCCAAACTTCCTTCTGAGGAGTGGCTGGTGGATTTGAACTGCTAGCTGGAGGTAATTATTCCCCATGATGAGACTGGCAATCAACTCCATGGTGGAATCTGCTGTGAGTAGCTGAGGAGCTGCTTTAAAGATGTGGTCTACTTCCCACATATAAGGAGAAGCTTTGGCATCGGTCTCTAGCCTTTTGGCACACTTGAACCCGGCATATAGTCAAATCATTGTTCAACAGCCTGCCATGCCCTGCTGATCTTGGAACTTCATCTGGACTTGAATTAGTGGCCTGCTATGTTGTTTGGTAACATTAAGACTGCGCCTTTTTACTTGTCGACCTTAGGTTTGTCAGCCTCAGCAGCCAGCAGCTGTCTGAGTGAAAAAAAGCCTCCAGCTTCAGTAGGCAAGGAGCAAGAGGCAGAGCTGAAGCTGGCTTTCACCCAGCCCCTAGAGCCTGACACTTTGAACTCAGACTTAAAGCTTCCAAAACTGTAAGAGAATAAACTCCTGTTTGTTCAAGCAGTTCTATGTGTGGTATATTCCTGTCACTAGTACCTGGCACTAGGTAAGCAAAATAACCACTATGGCACCAGAGCTCCTTCTGAACTTCCTTAGTGCGACATTAATTACCCTGTATATTTTCAGAGTGATTTGCCACTTACCAAGCACTTTCCCATTCTTTATCCTATTCAATCACATCAATGTTGTAAATGCTACAAAGTAGATTTTATAATCGTCATTTTAGAGAAAGAAATTGGAGCTCTAGGAGGTATGTCTGAAGCCACTAGAACTTGAAAATGGAACTGAAGTTAGAGAGCCTGGATTTGAATCTGTAGGCACTTAGAGGGTGAAATGGAGAAGGAACAGCAGGAAGATCTAACCAAAGGCTATGAATGGGTCTTCCAGATGTCACCATTTGTAGCCTAGTGCAGATGAGTTTAAACTATGCAAGTCAGGGACTTGTCTTGAAGGTGTACAGAGTCCTCAATTGGTAAACATACCATGAGCATTGCCCATGTCTGGCCCTGGGCCAGAATGTGTGTGTGAGAGAGAAAATTATGTCAGACATAGTCCTTGGTCTTAAGGATTTTATTCCTGTTGGGAAAATAAACCAGAGGTTGGTACTTTGTCATGGCTCGATGGAAAAAAATGAGACTTAAGTCAGGCTTGAAGGATGCTCAGTAGGTCCTGGAGTAGGTAGCATTCATGAAAGTGGAGAGGAAGGGCTGAATTGGAGAGAGCTTGCCAAATGGTGAAATATAGGATGTTGTTGTTGTTGTTATGTGCCGTCGGACCCGACTCATAGCGACCCCTCCTTGAGTTGCTGAGGCAGTATCACTACGGAAGTAGATTGCCCAACCTTCCTTCTGAGGAGTGGCTGGTGGGTTTGAACAGCCAGCCTTCTGGTTAGCAGTCAAGTGCCTTAGGCACTATGCTACCAGAGCTCCCATAAGATAGTTGAGACTAAAAGGTCAGACACACCAGAGGTCAAGTACAGGCTCTGTCACCTTACTAATGTATGATTGTAGGCAACTTGAACTCTTTAAGCTTCAGTTTTCTCATTTTTAAAATCAAGATCATAATAGCCCTCATCTCATATTGTTGTGAAAATTAAATGAAATAATACATGAAATGCACAAATCCTCAATCAATGGTAGCTGGAAGGATGACGACAATGATCATGGTTAAACATGAACAAATAAAAGTTTGAAAACATACTGGGTGTGTTAGATTGGGTTCTTTAGAGACAAAAACCAGCAAAGCTTTTATATATATAGAGAGAGAGAGAGAGAGAGAAATTTATCTTAGGAAAATGGCTCACAAACGTATAGAAGCCGGCAAGTCCAAAGTCCCTGGAGGAA